GGACACTCAAGGACGGGGATCTTTTTGGTCACGATTCTCGGGTGGACGCAGCTACCTCGGGGTAACTTCCGAGTAAAACACGGAAGAGGAGCCCTACAATAATGGCCCGTCTCGGCTTGGTTCTCACCGGTAATGGCCCCGAAGCGCCCCGCAAGCCAGATCTTACGGACACAGTTCGTGCCGTCCGGAATGTCCCAGTACCCGCTCATGTTGACACCAGCAGCGGCGACCGGCGCAAGTGTCGCGATACCTCACCAAGGACACTAGGAGCTGGGTCTCGCGAGAGCCTGGGCCAGATTTACACGCGGGCCAATTGCAACTCGAGGCTCCTAAAGACGGGGCGGGATTAGGGGGAAGTAGGCGCGACCTCACTGACGATCGGGGGTGTGGCTTATTCCGTCAGAGAAGAGTTGATTGGTCTGTGGGTGTGTCTTAGCATGATTTCCATTGGTAGATGCTTGGGCGGTAAAGCGGAATGAGGCCGCGCGTGCTTTCTTTCTCCTCCTCTTGCCTGCCGACTTGGAGCGGTTGGGGCAGGACGTTGTAGAGGCCGCGCTTGACTAGCCCGACTTGGCTGTCACGCGAGGAACCCCAAATCCAATAGAGCTTCACGTCAAGCGGCTCCAACCGGAGGTGTGGCTCCATTTGTCATTCTCTCAGGCCCCGTTAATGTGGCCTCGCTCCTGATTGGTCAACCCGAGTGAAGGGTGCGGCGACGTCTCCTTTGTGGTGAGTGTGACCTGCGTTCCCATTGGCTACGATGCGCGGGTGGTGGGCGGGGCGTCACCGGGCGTCGTCGTGGTCGTCCATGATGTCTTCATCTTCGCCGCCGACGCCGGTCCAGATTCGCGAGGCTAACGCGCATCTGGCAGCGCTGCATGGGCGGGTTGCAGAGTTGGAGCGACGGTTGGCAGCGGCGGAGCGCACGGTGCACGGCCAGGCTGAGAGTCTCATCCGGAAGGATGCCGAGATGCGGCAGGCGGTGCTCGGGCTTCGGGAGGGCAAGGACAGGTACAGACCTCGAGGAGGACTAGCGCCTTCGTTAGAGTGGCTTTGCAATTAGTGAAAGAATTAGAAGCTGAATTTGGATCAAGAGGTCTGAAATTTGAGTTTTCTTTTAAACATTAAAAACAAAAACCGTATCGTTTGTTATATTTTTTCTTAGTTTTATGAAGTTGGTCCTCTGTGTACTACTAAGCTTTGGCCCTCGTGGAAGCCACAAAATATATTTTTGGGCTGTTCCCCTCAATCTTGCTAAACAATTAGTCATTATTTCTCAGCATTAGGAAATAAAACTTATTGGACCACTAAAACAAATATCAGTTTACTAAATTTCATGCTATCCCAGATGGAACTTCAGGAACAGATTAACAGGAAAAAAGATGGCTGACTGAGGCTGGGAGTAGCCGTGATTATGAAGGGGCTGTTTTCTTGTTAAATAGTAGTTGTGTAATATTTCCAGTATGCTTCAGGCAGGCTGGAAAATTCACCATCAGATGAATCCTTTGAAATCCATCCTTTGAAACACATTATTTCCAGGTTTACAAGACAGGAGGTCCCAATGGCTGCCCTGCTTGCAAGCTTGGCTAATCACATCTTGCAACTTTCATACAACCATCATGTTTCAAATGGATACTTTCACCTCTAACTTAACAGCATGGCTCAGTCTTAGGAAATAGGACTTAGGAAACAAAACTTTACTGGCCTTTTCCACCATCATCCCTTTTTTTCTTCTTCTAAAGGGAAATTGCCATACTGGAGGAGAAGCTGCAGTCTTCTGAACAGCATGCCCAAAAACTCTTAAATGTGATCCAGGAAAAAGACAGTTTGATAACACAACTGAGGCACAGGAGCCGCCTGCTGAGCAAGATCTGCCGTAGCCGTCCAGTCCTAGACAATCTCCTGGCATACATGGCTGAAGGGGAGCAGCTGAGTCCTGTTCTTGGGGCACAAAGTGGCACCAACTCACCAGATCACAGCCTGTCATTGGAGACAAACTGTATCCCGGATCTTGATTTGGACACCAAAGACTTTTCACTTGGGGATGATGAACAGGATTCAGACAAGACTTTGTTTGGGACAACAGTGTAAATGGACAAGATTCTTGGGTCCCATATCTGAGGCCTCTTTCAGAGAATTTCTCTTTTAAGTAGGGTAATACCACTTTTTTTTACCCTGACCTGCTTAAGCTGGAGTTGGCAGTTAAAATGACTGTTTTTAAACCAGTCACTTCAATAATAGTTTTGTGTATCAGCAGACTTTTTTTGTATGTGGCTTAAGAATTATGTCTTATTTTCTTGCACCCCCTTAATTGGATGTAGGTTCCTGGATCTCTGGGACAAATTATGACAGTCCCAGCATCTTCCAATGTTGATTAACTTTCCAATTTTGGGAGTTGTAGTTTGGCAGGGCCTGGAGCACTCCAGGTTGCTTAGTCCCACTCTAAGAGAAGCAGATGTCTAAAGGGAAGCTGCTAACTTAATTAACATTACTCTAAATAAGGTTGCCATCACTGCTCTCTCTTTCTCTCAATATTTTTATTGCTATGTCCAGCCCAAACCAGCAGCAGTCTCTTTGAGAGTAGGACAGGCCCAGAATGAGTTCAAACAACAAGGAAGGAATTCATATTAGGGTTAGACATCAAGAGGAATTTTCTAATTGTTATGAGCTGTCAACTGGTGGAACAAATTGTAACAGAACTTGGTAAGTTCTCCTTCGCTAAAGGAGATGCTCTGGTGAATCCTGTACTAAGCAGGGGTTGTACTAGTTGACCTCTGTAGTTCCTTCCAATTTTGTGATTGTATAATTTGGGGTTTGTGTGTGCCAGATGGGCTAAATGGTTTAGAATTTAAATGCATGAGGGCAGCAAATCATGCCTTTGTTGATAAACTTGGAAATACCATACTTAGGATGATGGAAAGAAGAATGTTATCTAGGTACCACTATCTATTTTTTTTTTAAGAGCTATGGTTAAGACTTGAATCCAGCCCTGCAAGTATATTTCATTTTTACTGATTGTGGTAAAATATTACTTCCTTTCATTGGGCAGCTTCATTTCCCTTCAAGACTTATCCCTTAACAATCTTACTGGAGTGTAAGCTGGGATGCATCTAATGCATCTTTGGCTCTCAAGTGTGACTTATGTCCATCTTTAAGATGGATAGGAATTTTTTTAGGAGGGGCAAAATCACAGAGAAGTAGGAAACTTTCTTTTCAGCCTGTTTGGCAAACCCACAAGAATGAACAGAGAATTTCAGCTTCCAGTACTACCTCTGCTTGCTTGAGCAGGAAAAGGAATACAACCATCTTTTATTTATGATCTTGGGGGTTGTTAGCTCTTCTACGTGGTAGCTATTACTGTATCTGTTCTCAGAGTGGGTCTCTTAAAAAAACAAGAGGAAGCAGTGAAACAGCCTGCTTCCTAAAGTTGTGGATGCTCCATCACTGGAGGTTTTCAAGAAAAGATTCGACAGCCATTTGTCTGGGGCGGTCTGAGGATTCCTGCCTTGGGCAGGGGGTTAGAAGATCCCAAGCTTCTTTCCAACCCTATGAGTCAGGAGAGATCAGACCCTATGATTAGCTTCTCAGTGGTGGAAAAAGACTGGTTTATTTTTAACACTAGCAATTTTGTGTCAAAAATATTATCCTAAGCTTGCTAAAAACGCTGAGAACTTCTGTTGAGTTAACTCAGATCCATTTCCTGGCAAAAACCTGGAAGTTGCTTCATCTTTTGGATGTTTTCCTTGCCTGCCTTCTTGGCCAAGCGTGTTGGTACTGTTCAAAATACAGGGGGCATGCAACCCATAGGCCTGCTGCTTGGATCTTTTCAGTAGCTTTTTTCCAGAACCGAACAAGCAGGCAGGGCTGTTACAAAAGCTGAATGGGCAGGCAGGGTGGCCATAATTATTACTGGCTTGGGGGTGGGGAATTAGGGAGATTGTCATTTGTTTTGATTCTGTTCTAATAGGAAGTAGACAATGATGCATAGAGGCTCAGTTCGCATGACAAACGGAACTATCAATTTTGTTAAAGAGTACGCTTTGGAAGTATTTTACCCCTGCCATATGGGGCTCTTGAACTGGGGGTTTCAGGATTACTTGGACGTTCAGACCTGAAACATACGCTATCCTGAATCATTGAAGACGGTGGCTGTTTCAGGTTCGAATGCCGTGGTAAGTCTGAAACCTTCATTACCCAGCTGCAGAAGGCAGGGGGAAAATGGATGCCTGATTCAGTGTCTTATGTGAATCCAGTCAAACCTTGGGGATATTTAATCCATTTTAAAATTATATTCAGTAAAGTGCTATGCAACTGGCATGCAACAAAATGTTACATTACAGAGGTTTCAGTTTACAGCTCTAGTCAGCCATGACCTCTTCTACAATATAGTAATCCATTTTTATCCATATTTCTAAATCTGCCAAGTTGCCAATACCTCGCTCGTGTCTGGGAGATGCTCTTTGTGCTACAGAGGCTGTAGTGGTCACTTCCAAATATTAGAAATAGAAGGGCTCCATAAGATGTTGAACCTTTCAATACACCAACTCCTTTTCAGACAGAGACCACTTAATAATTACAATGTTTTAAGGCAGTGTTCTCAACCTTGGCAACTTTAAGAAGTGTGATTTTCAACTCCGAGCTGGCTGGGGAATTCTGGGAGTTGAAGTCCACACATCTTAGAAGTTGCCAAGGTTGAGAAACACTGTGTTAAGGGACCTTGAGCTATAGAAGGAAGTAAAGGAGACACAAAATCGATGGTTCAGGCAATTGTGGGGGAGGGGGGGCGTTCCAGAGAAAAATAGAAATGTGCTGAGGGATACATTCTGGTGGAGTTCCATCAACCTAAACAGCCATGAAACTGCCTTGGTGTCCTCTTGATCCCATCTTAGCCATGTAACTTTCAAAATGGCTGAAGTTGTGATAGCAGCGGATGAGTTCCAAAGATTCTGCTCATTGTTTCACCTCAATTCCAGTCTTCCCCAATCTCGCCTGCCCAGATGGGTTGAGTTAACTCTTGTAATCTCCAGCTTGGGGAAGCTGCAGATTTTCCACTGGCATTTTGGCAGCCCCTTTTGCTCTGTAACTTACTGTATTTCCACCCTACAAATAATTAATCTCTTGAATGAGTGATTGCAATCCTAAGCACTCTTGCAGGGAAGAAGTGGAACTAATTTCTTAATACATATGTATAGGATTGGTTTGTTTTATTTAATGCCTGTTACTTTCATTTTGAGTCATCTTAGTTCTCCACTGACAACTGAAGCACCAGTTAAGTGCCTATGGGGATTTTGTTACACTAGGTCCTCAATCTAATTTTTCTTGTTGGAAACAAAATAATATTAAAAAAATATTTTGGTATACTTGATCTGTACTGTATTCTGCTGTTTTTCTCATTGCTTTTTAAATGTTTGCTTGTTTTACATGAGCTGTCAACTAAGATATAGTTCCTACTAGGAATACTAGGACTTTTCAAAACTGCCTGATTTTATGACCATTCTCACATTGTTCTAAACTATGATTTGCTTATGGTCTATGGAATTACACTAACATTGGCTGGGTTTGCACAACAGTAAATCAGATTGGCAACCCATAATATTTGGGTATATGCAATATTGTAAGTCAAATTACTGCTTTAGTATGATGTCTGAAAAAGTCTTTCAGAGACAATTGACAATTCCCAAGTTTGGGGTAAAAAGCCTTATCTGTCTAAGCTGAAGTTACCTCTCCTAGACATTTCTATTGCAGACATTTTGGGGAGAGTATGAAGTCCTGCTTATTAAAAAGTGAGTGATGTAGTAGTTACTTCCATATGAGACTAGGAGACAGAGATTTAAGTTCATACTCAGCTAGGGAGACTCATTCTGTGCCTTTGCTACCATACATGCTTGTCATGAGAATAATGTAGATTGATGGAGTTTTATACTATGGGCTATATTTGATAGTTTTCAAAGAGCATTAAACAAATGCAAAGATGGGTGTATTGCTCATGACTAAATTTAATACCCACCTACAGGAACAGTCTAACCCCTAAATACATACTATATTGAGAAAGAAAAATAGAAGAAATACTAGTTGAATATCATTATTCTTTTTAAAAAGGCTGTTTGATGAGTTGCTATGATGTGAACCTGTTTCCCAAGAAAGAAAAGAAATTTCTCAAAATTCTGGGAGCTTGGAGTCATCGAGTTCAGCAGATTTAACATAGAGTTACAGTGGGGCAAAAAAGTATTTAGTCAGCCACCAATTGTGCATGTTCTCCCACTTAAAA